CATTTTTCTGCTCCTTGAAACATGCTAATACATACTGAAGTGTATGTTCTCATGTCTGTACTTGATCCTGAGAATGCCAGTGTAATTTATCATCGTTGTTTTTTCAGTGAGCGTGTTCATGTACTTGCCTGCATACAGGATTTGACTTCAGATATGCTGTGCTCCAATTTAGACTTCGGTGTAAAACTTGCTTATGAAATATCAGTCTTCAGAGGTGCTGAAGAATCTGCTTCCATAGCTGTTAATTAAGCACCTATGTCAGCCAGGGCTTTGAATTGTTTCTGAGACCATGCGCTTTGATAAAGTGGGTAACGAACAACATAAAATCAGTATTTAATACTGTAAGGCTTTGAAAAAAGACAGTATTTTCTGTGTTGATAATTTAGGATCATCTAGATGCCATTTTGAGATGGAACATTTACTAGCAGAGTTCTTTGTAAAGCATTATGTTGTGCTAACCTTGCAGTAACGCATATAGTAACACACACACACACACACACACACACAGTGTTGTGCTAACCTTGCAGTAAAGCGTATAGTAACACACACACACACACACACACGCTGCATCTCCTGCTTATTTTAATATAGTGATACAATTCAGGCCTCTTCGTCCTGCTTTGGATACACCAGACCAAAGCAGTCTAAGCTGTTTGTAGTAACTGACAGGAAGCCTTATGTTGTTGGCATTTTAGAAGTAGTATTTTTTGTATCTGTTTTGCAGTTTCTTTCCTAAAGAATCATAGAATCATTTGGTTGGAAAGGACCTTTGAGATCATAGAGTCTGACTGTACCTGTCCACTACTAAACTATATCTCTGAGCAAAAGAATAAATATATATATCTGCATAGATATTAAGATTTAGTAGGTTGTTACTGGGTATGGTTACATTAAATATGGTAGGTTTTTAAACTGAGATGATACACTGTGTAAATTTATTAAATTCTCTACTTTTAGAATCTATTATGTTAGGATTCTTAGCTTCTGCATTCATTATGAAATTATGAGTGATATTTATTGGATTTTGTCCAAGTTTAGATTAAAATTAATTAAATTTACAATATATTTTAATATATTTTTTTATTGAAGAAAACCATTTTCTGTAATAACTATATAAAATGGCCCTCTGCATTTAATTGAACAGATTTCTTTCTGGTTGCTTTTTCAGTTGGAATCTTATAATAGCTGTCATTCCTTCATATTTTAACAATTTACAAATAGAAGAAGATATTAAATATCTCCTACCTTTTCAGTTCTGAGTCATTTTACTAAGCTCCAGTGAATTAATCATTGGATGGAAATAGTTGAAGAATGCAAAAGAGGTTATACTGCATCAGACTTTTCATCACTTCATCAAATAGAAGTTCCAATACTTAACCAGTCACTTCCATCACTGAATATGTATTTATGCAAGCTATTAAAATAACTTCACATATGATAAATTTTATCTCAGTTATGGATTACAGTCATTTTGTACTTAATTTTACATTCATTTTTTTTAAAAGAAGCGCAAATTAAAAAATACCACTTATTAATGACTATGTGAGAGACTTCAAAGTTTATCCAAATAGAGATGGATTCTGCAGATCTTGTCAGTAGCTCTTACTTGTAGGATTGATCTGAAATGCTGTTCTGTAAGTGTTGCAGGAACTTACCTATGATAATTGGCATTTTCTTGTGTTAAAGCATCTTTTTATAACTTTGCATGTTATATATGAAATTTGCCTTGTGCTTTTGGAAGTTCAGATGACTTCCATCTTCTTAATGAACTATTAATTGTTAGCTGTCTTTTCAAAGGTGTTCTTTGGTTTCTTTTTTTTTTTTAAAAAAAACCAAACCCAACTTCATTACTTTGTCCAGTTAATTGCTGTTAGTTCACACACTTTATTTTCTTGGGAATTATAAAAGGTCTGTAAGTTTAGGAGCTAACAGCAGGCGCTTAAAGGAGATGATTACATTATGGAGAAGAGTGTAACTTGCATAAAACACTTAGATTTTTAGGCTTGATAAACATGCAGTTTTCTTTACAGAAAGAATTCCAACCAAAATATGTTGTCTTTTTCATATCGAGTAGCTGCCTACACGTGCAGCATATCTAACATGTACATTAAATGCAGCTTATGATTGCCAGTGCTTGTTATGGTTCATTTTGAGTTAAATAAACCAGGAAACTGGTGTAAGACCACCAGGAGCTTGAATCCTCCTCACTGGATTTGCTGTGATAACTTGTAACTTTTTTGGGGTCAAAAGTAGGATCCTAAGTTGGAGTTAGCCTGGTAATGTTTGTATAAACACGTGTCGTGGTCGTGCTGGCTGTAGTGATAGTCCAAGGGCATGGCTGAGAGGTTTGTAGATGGAGATAACACCTTGTACTGGACCAGTTAATATAATTACAATAGATGTACTTTCGGGTGCACGAGCCCCTTGTTGGGTCTTGAAAAGCAGCAGGAAGATTGAAATCAGTAAAGCAAAGTTTGAAGAATTTCACCAGGTTTTGGTAGAGGCTGGTCAAAAAATCATCTAGAAGAATATACGATATTTGGAGCAGGGGAGGGTGCTAATGAGAAGTGATGATGTTCGTCTCCTGTGGGGAGCAGGAAGACACTAAAGTTCATGTTAACCACGTGGGCATCAAAAAGAAGACATTATAGAGTATTGTAAGCCCAAAATAAAAGTTTGATAGGTTTTTTTAGTGTTTCATACACTTGACTGCTGAGGTGCTTTATACCTCCCTCTTAAGGATCTGATCTGAAGTTAGTCTTCAAACAGCAGTCTTTCAAGACATGCTAGTCATGCATTCTGGGAATAATAAAGCATGCTCTTGGTGTCCGAGTTCATCATGTAGTGGTTTGCATTGGCTTGGCTGGATGAAACATTCTAGGGGGTTCAGGAGTCTTGATCTTCTATGGGGAGGAATATATATTGTAATTGTGGTGATATGTTTCCGGTGTTAATTAGTCAAGGAAAATCTGTGTCTCTTCAGTAGATGGTCTGTGGTGAGCTGACTTCTCATTTCGGTGAGGTTGGTGGTGAAGTTGAGGAAGTTGTTTGGAAATCAGGTGGGATAGTTTTGGAAAAATGTCTTCAAAATAATAACTTCAATTAGTAATACCTGATGGCATAAATATGTTTACTTTTTTGTAGTAAAGCTACCTTTTATTATTTGCTTTCAGTTAGAAGTTCAAAGGAATCTCTTAAATTTTATCTGAAGATATATTACCTCTTGTGTTTGTTACAGTAATTTAGCTAATTACTTCACAAAATGCTTATATTTGTGGCTTAGTTTTCAGTCTATGTTGTAAGGTTACTGAACAACTGAAGGAGGTAAATATAAATCAGCCGTTACCTTCCTCTTTTTTCCTTGTTGGTGCTTACAAATGGAAAATTATATGGCTGTTATGTAGAAGTTATGTTGATTTAAATTAATATAAATTGTTCTATTGAGAGTTCTCTTCAGAGATCTTTTTTTCTCTTCAGAATTTTGACTAAAAGATGATGAGTAGCCTCACATCGTGGTCGATATGTGTTTGAACTATATGTAGTATCTACAAATAGAGTATATATGTTCTCTAATGAATTTAGAATGCCAGAGCTGTTGTGGAAACTAGGAACAGTACCACTGGTTTGAAAACCTTCCTTTTTTGGTTAACTTTTATTGTTGTATAGATAATATTCCTAATTTATTGTACAGAAAATGTGATATTCCAAAAGTATGCTAACACTTTTTAAAGCAGTATTTTGATTATGTCAATGTATTTTTTACATGTAATTAAAATAAGTAAATATTCTCATCATGTTCTGTGGAACATGGTGAAAAGCTGTAGCTTTTTCTGGAAATCCCTTAAATTTTTTTTTTTGTAGTTTCTTGAAGGTATAAGAGGTAGGTAGGCAAGTTTGTATGTCCCTTAACTAGGCATCAGCTTCTCATTTTCTTTATTTTTAAGGCTTCATTTATACTGTGTTCTGTTGCCAGACATTCCTGTTGATACTCAGACATTCCCAAACAATCCAGTCAGTCCAAGTCACCTGTTCTTGGTTAACAGTGATGTAATATCTAAATATATTTTAATCAGATATGGTCCAACTACTCTTCCACTCCCTGTGGCAGTACCTGTTTAAAAAGAAACAGCAACAACAATAAAGCCTCCTCAAGATGTGTGCTGCGGCCTCCTAGGGAACTACATACCTTTATTCTTGACTTGAGATGAAAACAGGGATGAAAATAGGTTTAATTCCCCTGGCAAAGACTTAAGATTTTTACAAAATGCAATTTAAGGCTTTTAATCCGTGTGAGTAATAATAACCTGACTTAATAACAGGAAATGTGTTGTAGAATGTTTATGTATAAAATATTGAAAATTTGGAAGTGTATTTGCAAAATAGTTAAGGGTCATGTCTGAAATTCTTGAAATGGAGACAAATCACCTAATGAATCATGAGAAATAGAAATTGGATGGAGCTGATTAGATCCACTGCACTTGTGAAAGCAACTTGTATATCTGGCAGACTGTCATGAATGCATTTATTGAAGGAGACAGTGCTGCCTTATAGCAATATATGTTGAAGTTGTACACAGATGAAGTGAGGGTTTCTAGCTGCCTTTTCTCTTAGGACAGCTGCTTTGGCTCATGGGAAACGTCTCCAGGAAGACTAGTTTTCTAGTATCTGTGTTTAGATACCTCTATAAATCTGTCGACTTAAAACAGAATCCTGAGGCTTGGGGCCATCACTGTTTGTCACCTACTTCAGTAGATCATGATGGCTGTGGCCTCTTAGCTTGAATCAAGTAAGTACAGAAAAGTGCAAGTAGGTGGTAGAGCATAGATACATTTTACCAGTATGTCCTTTCTGTTCAGTTTCCTCTTCTTTTTGATCATATCCATGGAGTTAAATGTTCAAACTTCATCTTTTCAATAAATGCAGATGGATAATATGTTTTGAAGGAACTTCTTAAAATGGTAAACATACTTATATAATACTATATGCATGTTTATTTCTAGGAGAAGGAGCTACAGCTGAAGTTTCCTCATCTTTTGTGATTCTGTCTATATGTACTCTAGTAGTACTGGTAATACTGCTTGCAAACTGTGTCTCCTGCTGTAAAGACCCTGAGATAGATTTCAAGGTAAGCATCTGAAGTTAAAAATGTATATACAGGTGGTATTCTTAGCTGCATTCTGATATGCAGAATACTTACTTATTTGTGCTAATACTCTGCACTTACTGACACTTCAGTGTCACTGTACATTCTCTCTTCTGCAATAGGCAGTGACTGTATTTCTACATGCTGTGAAATCTTGCTGCAACCATTTATTTCAGTACTTGGTCCATGCTGCTGTAAGGATCTTTAATGTCATTTCAAAATCATTACTAGCTGTTAGGATCAGTAGTAAAAATATACCCTTGAGACAATTTTTCTGTTGTTAAATAACCTCTTTGTTGTTTTTCTGTGTATTTTTTTAATTTTGTTTTTTTTTTTAAGTCTGCTGACAGGGTTTAAGACACTCCTGATGAATAAAAATATTGAAGATACATATCTAGTGTAGCAAAACTCTTGGGAGAAATTGTTATCATCAGAGAACAGTTACTTTTGGAACATCAGTTATTGATGTTACTGAGTTTTGCTCTGATTTCTAAATGGAGAATATTTGGCATTGGCAGTTCATGATAATTCATTCAAACAAAAAACTGAAACCCCAAACAAACCAACAAAAAAGCCAAAACAAAAACTCCTCTTATTGTTAATAGCAATACTTGATACTTTAATATCTTTAAATTAATGAATTGAAAATAAGGAGTAGAAAACTAAAAATCTGACAGTGTTCTTTAGAAAAAAGCTAAGCCTCCTTAACCTTGCTCATTCAAACTGAAAAAAATAGATTAGTGCTAATTTTAAGACAAAGATCAGCTTGTTTACTAAGATTTTTTTTTTTTTTCAGGAATTTGAAGATAACTTTGATGATGAAATAGATTTTACACCCCCAGCAGAAGATACTCCATCTGTTCAGTCTCCAGCGGAAGTGTTTACTCTTTCAGTTCCCAATATTGCTTTACCAACTCCCTCCCAGTTTCCATCTCGTACAGGTGAAATACTTTTTTTTAATGAAAAACTGAAAGTAGGCAATTTCAGTGTCCAAAGTGGAGTGTAGCTGATTATGTTTGACTTTATTTGTAGCAAATTAATTGTTACCAACTTACATAAACTGGGTAAATACATTTTGTAAGGTATAGGATAAAATGTGAAATATTACTTTGAAAATCTTAACTTTTGGCAGTGTGCCATGTAAGGTAGCTAAAGAGATTGAAGCTAGCTGAAAGAAAACCTCTCTGGAGTACTTTCTTTCTGCCTCTTTGTACAAAGAGGATTTGAAGTCCTCCAGGATGTTAGTGACTTCTGCTCTTTAATGGTTTTCTTCATGGCTAAGTTGTCATTGGATTTTAGCCGTTAGCCTTAAATGGAAGCAAGAGTGAATGTCTTACTTGACAGCAGTGCTGCTATTTCAGCTGCATTGCTTTCTTAATGTCACTGTAGTCTTTTCATGCTGTAAATGTGATATTGGTAAGTCAGAGCATTAGATTTCTTTTCTCTCTGTGAAACTTTTTTGGAATGTATTCTTTATAATAGAGGTTTTGTAAAAGGAAGCTTTAAATATTAGAAGCATAGCTTAGCATAAAATAGTTGTTCTCATAATACTTCACATATAATTTATACATATGTTGCTTGATCATTCTGTGTTCAGGGAAGCTTCTAGTAAAATGTCTGTACCTATAAATTTCAAGAAACTGCCAGTGTGCCTTTAATACAAAAGAAATGTTACTCCTCAGTGTTTTATCTGTGAAAAATGTTACATCAGCTCTTCTACCTTGCCATAGTTGTTAGAACTATACTTTCTGTCGCTAGAAGTTATTTTGCCAGAAGTAAGGTAGTGTACTTGAGTAAGGTACACTGGTAAATATGTACTTGTACTGACACAGCCTGCTCTGACTGTACTGACACAGTGCTTAGTTGCATGTTGACAGTATATTATACTGCTGTAACTGTTCCATTAAAATAATACTCATGTAAATGTGGTTTATGGAAATAAAAACCTGGGCTAGAATTCTCAGGCAGACAAGCAGTAATGATGGAAAGTTTTGTGTACATCTGTTTATTAGTGTTTCTAACTAATTACACAGCAGAGGGATAAACATTATTGAATCTCTTCTATAGTACAGACTCTGCTGTTGTTACTGTCCGTCCTCTGCCAAGATCAGGGTCTTGTTTTCTATCCTTTCCCTCTCTGGGCTCTTTACATAAGGTATTTTTAGTCAGAAAATGTCCTCTTTCCAGATGGTAGCTATAAGTAGGGCAGTTGGGCTGAAGAGTAAAGCAGTCAAGCTCTTTCTCTTAAAATGGTAACTCTCTGTATAAATGTTAAGATGTACAAGCAATGAGTATTGTCTTGGATTTTTTACTTTTATTTATATAGGAAACTTTTGTAAGTAGGTTATTTAAGGTGTAAGCTGGTGAAGGGTCTAGAGCACAAGTCTTGGGAGTGGCTGAGAGAGCTGGGGTTGTTTAGCCTGGAGAAAAGGAGGCTGAGGGGAGACCTTATTGCTCTCTACAACTGCATGATAGGAAGTTGTAGTGAGGTGGCTGTTGATCTCTTCTCCCAGGTAACAAGTTGATAGGATGAGAGGAAATGGCCTCAAGTTGCACCAGGAGAGGTTTAGATTGGATATTAGGAAAAATTTCTTCACTGAAAGGATTATTAAGCACTGGAACTGCTTAATAGGCTGCCCAAAGAAGCAGTTGAGTCATCATCCCTGGAGGTGTTTGAAAGTTGTGTAGATGTGGTGCTTAGGGACATGGTTTAGTGGTGGGCTTATCAGTGTTAGGTTGGACTCAATGATCTTAAGGGTCTTTTCCAACCTAAATGATTCTGTGATTCTATGATTTGTTCTACCCAACTATAGGGTATCATACACTTTTATATTGTAATTAGAACTCAGCCTTTTTGCTTTCTTAATAAGTATTAATAAATTAGAAGTTTACATTTCATAAGGAGAATGACTGTGTTTTTGGAGGGGTGTATTCTAGTATGATGTAGAAGCTGAAGCTGAGAAAAGTTTCAGTTGAGTGCTATTGTCACAACATTACCTTGATACATTATGTGTGTCTAACTAGGTTTTGCTGCTTAGTCTGAATGTATGCATGTCATTGGGAATAAATATTGTAGGAGTTTGCATTATTTCCTCAACAGTTGATAACTTTGGCCATCTGAGTGGTTTAATATGTGTTACATTGGTTTTGTTGTGTGTGACAGATGGATCAAAGCCTCAAGTTGCACGTCAGAGTCTAAACTACATACAGGAAATAGGAAATGGCTGGTTTGGAAAGGTGAGAAGTTTGTTGTTGTTTTGGGGGGTTTTTTTAATATTGTACTGCAGTTCGAGTCTTATTTCTAACTAACTAGGCTACTGTATTTCCTTTTAAAATGGTACTAAAAAAAACCCCCCAAGTAGTAGCATAAGAAAAACTGAAGTCGAAATTAGGTGTTTGCTTGCATGGAAATCATCCATGTAATCATAGCACTAATCAATGCTGCTTTAATTTACATGTAGTTTGTTAAGAGAGTTACTTACTAGGTAGACATTTTACTTTTGTGGATTTGAATTAATACATTCCTGTTATTACCAATTCCTTCTAGGAAAGAATCTTAAGTAAATAATTGATCTTCACTAGAAAGCATGTTCTGAAGGTTGTTGTAGATCAGTTGTCAAGATGTATTAAGTATGGGTGTTTAATTATCGAAGCTCTGCATGTGTTGACAAAAAAGCCAGGAAATCTTTCTTAAAGCATGTTTTTAGCTCTTGTTTTTCTTTGCAGGGAAACTCCAATTTTTTTCTCTCTGGTTAAAGACAGAATTATTATCTTTTTCCAGGTTCTACTTGGAGAGATCTACACAGGCTCTAGTGTAGCAAGGGTAATAGTGAAGGAGTTGAAGGCAAGTGCAGGTCCCAAGGAGCAAGAACAGTTTTTAAGAAATGGAGAACCATATTAGTAAGTAATGATTCACAGCTTGATTAACTTATACACTTCATACTACTGCATATGAATGATAGACATTTCTTTTGTTCAGTGTTATTGTCTCTAATTGTCCTCCCTTATAAATGAAATACATGTCCTTAAAAAGTGTTATACAGTCAATCCAAAGTGAGCAAAAGTTGAGTTTGAGAAATAAATTTGGTAATTATTGTGCCTGACTGGAAAATACACTTGGTTTGGTTTATCAGATTTTCTTGTACAGCTGTTTGTCTTATGCCAACACCTTGTGCCTAATTATTTGCCTCTGAGAACTGAGGTTTAACTCCTGCACTTG